AGTGTTAGCCTGCAGACCAAAGGTCCTGGGTTCGATTCCGGACAAGAGTGTACACCTAGATTGCAGGCTTCTCCCCCATCCAGGCGTTGGTCAGGGCATATGCAGGAAGAAGTCAATCCATGCATTTGTCTAACATCAGTATTTCTCTCTGTCTTTCCCTCTCTCTTCCACTCTCTCTAAAAATATCAATGGAAAAATGTCCTTGGGTGAAATAATTGTCAGGCTTAAATTCTCACGTTTATATTTATTTATAAATAGGAGTTCTATTATGTTCATCTTGAGTCACCCACAGTGTGCCACATTTTGGAAAAATTCAATAGGAACAGATAAGTGGCTAGCTCCTGTCTTTCCTGACAAATTAGGAGATCACATCTTCCAGTATGCAGTGGCTGGGCAGTACATGATTGATGGCAAAAATCTAAAGGGATTTTGTTGTTTCAATTGGGTGGGAGTTCATATCATTAGCTCTAAACCCCATTTCCTTGTACTTTTTACTTTGCAGTACAAAATCATGGAATCATAAAAATGTAGAGCTAGGATGGATGGCTTGGAGTTTGGAGATGAAGTGGTTCAGTTTTCTCATTTTATGGGTTAGGAAACTGAGGCCTAGCCTCACAGCCTGTGATGGAAAGACATGGATTAGTCAGGCCTCTAGTAAATCATCCTGGGAATAAATGCAGAGCATTTACCTGCTTGATTTTACTCCCATTCTTCTATCTGCTGGGACACAGCTTTCAAAGGTGATTGTATGGACAGCTAGCTGAAGAAAATGAGAACTATTTCTAAGCACCCACACATTTCCTGGTTGTTATACATTAAACTTTCTATGTATGTCCATGTTCAGATGTTGAGAAAATGAAATTTAACGTAGTGAACATGTCTACTCTTTATTTCTTTTTGCTTTTTCAGGAAACCTAACAATATTTAGTAATGATGCTGTGTTCTGGGTGACCTTCTCTTGTATAGTTGTTCTCATTCCAGTAATATTCATTGGCTGCCAAAGAATAGTAAGTGTTTCATCAAACGTTAGATTTATTTATTATATTGTCCTGGGCCTTCAGTTGCTCACTTATTGTATCAGTTTGCATGTTTTATTCACAAGTACCGTATGATTTCACTTATATGTGGACTCCAGTGAACAAAATAAACTTAACAAAGTGGAAACATACTCATGGATATAGAAAACAGACTGACGGTTGTCAGAGGGGAGGGGGTTGGGGGCTGGGTGAGAAGGGTAAAGGGATTAAGCAAAGACTCATGGACACAGGCAACAATATGGTGATTGCCAGAGAGGAGTGTGTGTGTGGGGGGAGGTAGAAGAGAGTAAAGGCAGGGGGGTAAATGGTGAGGGAAGGAGACTTGACTTGGGTGGTAAACACACAATACAATATATACAGATGATATATTGTAGAATTGTGTGCCTGAAACCTATATAATTTATCAACCAACGTCAGCCCAATAAATTCAATAAAAGATAAAAATTTAAAATACGCTTTTAACAGTGGGAGCAGAGAAGGTTGAACTCTCTGTAATGCAACAACCTGATGGATCATTAGCCATCTCTGCAAAAGAGTGGTTCTTCGTTTAATTAAACCTTATTGCTGAAGTTCTTTCACAGGGAAGATACCTTTTATATAAGGTAAACTGTGTTTTAACAGCTCACTATGGGTGTCAAAGGTTGTCCTTAGTTTATAGGTAACCTTTATTCGGTTCTAAGACTTGGTCCTTTTCATGTGAGCAGAGTGATTCCCTGTGTTTGAGGCCAGTGATAAGAGTTAGCAACTATTCTTGTTTTACCAGAAGTAAAGCCTGAAATGTCCCTCTCTTCCACAGCTGAACATCCTGACTTGTGGATTCATTGGCTCCTATTCGGTGGTCTTGGCCATTGACAGTTACATGTACACAAGTCTTTCTTACATCGCTTTGAATGTACTCAAGAGAGCACTCAGCCCTCACTTCCGCAGAGCTTTCACAAATGTGCCTTTTCAAACTAATGGTAAGACCCTAAATCCAAGAATCGGAGTGGTATTAATAGTTAAGAACATTGGCTCACCTATGCTAACAGAAGCACCTGGTAACAGAATGAAAGGTTAGCTGGAGGAAAGAAAGTTAAACTGGACACAAGGACGAAACAAACACCATTCAAATGCTGTTAATAACTTACGGTCATAGAAGCAAAGAATTTAAATTTGTTAGGTGGTTAAAGTTCATACTTCTAAAAACCTACTAAATGAACTTTGTTAAGAAATTTCTAAGTCAGGATTACTTAGGCTTACCTGGTCAATTCCTAGATGTGAAGAAAATGCTGAGAATAAAAATGGATTGGGTTGGGATGAAGGATGAGAATGGCAACCTGTTTTTTTTTTTTTAGGTTATTCCGTTTCCCTCTTTTAAAAAAGCATGTAATTTGCAAATAGAAAGTGAAAGTGGTTTTTAGTCAGTAAGTATATTTCCTTAGTTGTAGGATTTCTACCCATTACAGATTTTCCATTTATTTTTTGAAGGAAAAAAGACCATTAAATTAAATAGTCACAAAGATTGTAAGATAGGTTGGTTTCAGAAATGTTAAAACATGGTGGATGGAAAAGTATGTCTTAGAACTAAAGGTATATAAGCACAAATATTTCCTTCTACTGTCCTGAGACTGCCCCCTCATTGGATAAGAGGTTGATGGTAGAGACCTTAAAATCCACATGTCTTGGAAGTTTTACGTACCAGACACTATTTTGCCACGCCTTTGTTGCATCTCTTCGTGCATTTCTTTTTTTTTTAAAATATATTTTATTGATTTTTGTACAGAGTGGAAGGGAGAGAGATAGAGAGTTCGAAACATCAATGAGAGAGAGTCATTGATCAGCTGCCTCTTGCACACCTCCTACTGGGGATATGCCCACAACCAAGGTACATGCCCTTGACCGGAATCGAACCCGGGGCCCTTCAGTCCCCAAGCCGACGCTCTATCCATTGAGCCAAACCGGTCCCTGCATCTTCATGCATTTCTACTTGCCCTCTATGTGAGTGGGTGACGAATGGGGAAGAGAGAGAGCAAGCATGGCGGCATGCAGTGTTCCACGATGTACATTTGTGAGGTTTACCTAGAATGCTGCCTTCTTCCCCCACCCCTTTGTGGAAGACACAACCAACAACTGTGCCTGTGGCCACTGGTCATAGCTATTGGAATGTGAAGGACCCAAACTATTGGTTCCTTTATAAGCTGTCTGGACTTTGATAAGACTGTAATGGAAAATTCCTATTTTCAAATATAAGATTATAATTTCTTCACTCATTCCTTGGTTTGTAAGTAAGGAAATAACATATGTTTGGACAAACTCACCAAAGACTAATATTTACTAAAAAAAAAAAAAGATGACATAGATTTAGGCTATGAAAGGTTACATGTTAGATCTGCTTGGGTTTTCAATACAAATTCCAACAGTGCTCTCCTGTTTTTTAGACTTTATCATCCTGGCGGTATGGGGCATGCTGGCCGTAAGTGGAATTACGTTGCAGATTCGGAGAGAAAGGGGGCGACCGTGTTTCCCTCCCCACCCGTACAAGTTATGGAAGCGAGAGAGGGAACGCAGAGTGACCAACATTCTGGATCCCAGCTACCACATCCCTCCGTTGAGAGAGAGGCTCTATGGCCGATTAACCCAGATCCGAGAGCTCTTCCAGAAGGAGCAGCCGGCCGGAGAGAGAACACCCCTGCTGCTGTAGATGCCAGCGGGCTTGGTCAGTGTGGTCCTGAAGGACACAGGCACTGCCTCAGCGTTGGTGTCTGTGCTCAGCGTGCTTCAGCAGTCTCCAGAGCAAGTCTAGTAAGAAAACAGGCTTGTGTGTCTATGTGCGATGTCCTTACCGATGCATGGCAAGGATGTGCCAAGGAGATTATAATTCTAAGTCATTGTTTCCCAAAGTGTGGTATGCGTACCCCCAGGGGTACGGGAAGAGTTTGGTGGGGATATGCACTGCACCGTGCTTAGCTGCACCTAATTCTACGTTCTCATAAGTACGAGGGTTACTCAGCGTTACTAAAAGCATAGAAGGGGTACACATATGTCAAAAGTTTGGGAAACACTGTTCTAAGTGATGAAAAAGATGACCAAAAAATTGGTGATAGGGAAGCTTTTCCTTATTCCAAAATACTTGAGAAATTACCTCTTTGTTTACATGATCGATTTATTCCATTAAAGAGATATACACACAAATTTAAAAAAAACCCTGATTATCGTGTAAAGCCGTGGTGTTTTCTTTTCACAAGTCTTTGAAAATTTCTCACACTTTAGTCCATCTAAACCTGGGGGGGGAGGGGAGGCTGAGGCACAGAGGGTGGTTTAAATGTTAGAGTGATTTTTTTTTTTTTGCTATTGTTTAGATTTAGGGATTTAATACTGGATCTTTGAACTTCTGAGTACAAAAGAAGGAGAACTAATTTAAAAACAGTCTGATTACTTAATTGCATCTTTCATAGTATATAGTAACAAAAGGTGTCATTCTTTTGCTTATTTTTGTGATAAAAAACACATTTACCATATCATTTTAAATGTATAGTTTAGTCGATACCGTTGTTTTGTGTTTAAAATGGTAATATAAGTAGCTAAGTTATTTCAATTTGAAAACAGATCAAATTTATATAGATAACAGAACTCTTATATGGATGATTTATATTCCAAATAATGGCCTATTTTTTTCTGGCCCTTTAAAAATAGCTAATCTCTAATTTAAACTATATTGTGACATTTTTGTTTCATTAATCTTTACCTGCATTTTGTAGTTCTGCTAAATTAGTTATTTGCATTGATGTAAAAATACAATTTAAAAAAAATCTCTATATGAAGCCCTGTGTACATCTGTGTTTTAAAGTGATGAGGAAGTCAAAGCACTCAGTGTTTAATGGATCTACTTTTGAAATAGAGACTTGGCATTTCTAAGGAAAGTCCCTTTAGTTTTAACCATCGCGCTCCCCCCCCCCCCCCCCCCCCCCCCCCCCCGCCTGCCTCCATCATGAGAATGTAACCTGGCTGCCCTGGGCTGCATACCTGTGCCTCATGGCCTTTTAATTGCCAGAGCCTCTGCCACTGGCTGTGCCTGGGACTCTTGACATACCTGAGTGACAGGGTGGTTGTGTGCATATTTGTGAGTTAGCCACCATTTGAAATGATGCTGCTTTAAAGAGATTTTTCAAAGCACAATTGATTTTTGAAATTTCAGATAGCTGGAAAATTTTCAACTTTTACTTTTGAAAGTATCTTGGAAATGATTTATTCTGAAATCCACACTATTTATATAAATGCAGTAACACTTAAACTGGAATTTTTTTTTTTTTTTTTTTTTTTTTTTATAATTCACCGTAGGGATTCTGACTTCTGCCATATTTTGGTACATTCTATGAAATGTGTTTGTTATTTTCTATACCAGTGTTTGGCAAACCGCGGCTCACGAGCCACATGTGGCTCTTTGGCCCCTTGAGTGTTCTAATGCCACTTCTTCAAAAGACTTGCCCAGGCTGAAAACCGACTTCTGGGCCATAAAGTTTTAATCGCAATCTACCTGTGTGCCTGCATGTGGTATTTTGTGGAAGAGCCACACTCAAGGGGCCAAAGAGCTGCAGTGGCTTGTGAGCCGCGGTTTGCTGACCAGTGTTCTATACCATCAAAACACACTGCCAGTGAAGATTGTAAAGACACCACAGACTTTTTTGGAGGGGGATGCAAATTGTTAAAATTTATGTTAATTTGTAATAAAAAGCTCGTTTGTACAATTTTTTAATAATAAATTCCTATTTTGAAAAATTGCTTAAGTTTCATTATTATAAAATGTTTTTGCCAACTATCTTTGTACCATAGTAACAAGACATAGGACAGTTTCATAACTATAAAAACAACTAATTAAAAAATTATTTAAAGAATCGGTTTAAGCACAAATGAAAAATGAAGGAAATCTGGGGCAAGCTAATGTCTTTAGTGGATCAGTTCATTAGAACTTCAGGTATGTCAAACTGAAGGAAAGAAATAATATTGGAAAAGTATACTGTCCTTTAGTGTTTTGTTTCTGATAGCCTGTTATAGGCTACCTACCATGTTTCTAAACCACAAAAGCTCACTAGTGCTACAGATCAGTTGAGTTCCATAGAAGATGATAGTAAACTGATTCTAACAAAGAAATTTCTGAATATTAAACCACAAATGGACATTATTTTTTTTTAAAGGATATTTTTATTTCAGAGAGGAAGGAGAATAGAGAAACATCAATGAGAAAGAATCATTGACCGGCTGTCTCCTACACGCCCCCTACTGGGGATCAAGCTGGCAACCCAGGCACGTGCCCTGACCAGGAATCCAACAGTGATCTCCGTTTTTTAAATTTATTTTATTTTTAGAAAAATCTCTATTGTTCAAAATATTACATAAGTCCTCCTTTTCCTCACATTCTCTTCCAGCCCGCTCCCGTTCTCCACCCCCCTCCAGGCCCTCACCACGGGTTATGCATATATGTATAAGTTCATTGCAAATTGATCTTTTGGTTCATAGGTCGATGCTCAACCACTGAGTCACACTGGCTGGGCAGGAATGAACTTCAGAAATCACGTTATCTGAACCCTTTATTTTATCGTATCATAATTATTTTGATTTTGTGGTGAGAATAATTAGTTAAGTCCTTGACGAAGGAGCCAATTATATGAAGTTATGAAATAGTGCCCAGACCAAAATTTGGGATGCCTGACTCCCTTTCCAAATGTGCTGTTGCTCTATCATAAAATGTAATCATTGATTACTTCCCATTTTTCTCTGGTGAACTGGTAGGAGGCTTCTAATATTAATATTGCAATGATCTCCTTTTTTTGGGGGGTGGGGGTTATAATTTTACACAGTGAAAACATTTTTTTCTTTCCAAGCTAATGCTCTGAGGTCCTATGTTGTTATTCACTTCAAAGAAAGTTACACTAAAAAACAAAATTTAATACCCATACTTATCTCCACAGTAGCATTTGTATAGAATGTTTTCGTATAAAGTTCACTCCTTGATGATGTATTTGATACCTGTTATTAAATATCATTAAAACCCCAAGAAGAGATAAAAAGCCCTACAAATAAATGTAAGCATTATTTTCAAATTAACTTGGAGAGCACAGCAATTTTAATCACATCTTTATTGATAAAATAGGCTCCTATGCACTACATACCTTCAGAATAAATGAAAGGTTCGGCTTAACAAAAAAGTATGGGGTGGAAAACTTTCTATATAACAAAGTAAATGTCTTTAAATAGCAAGATCTTAGAATTATATCCAAGTAAGAAGACTAAGAATAAATTAATTCAACTTATTGGTTTACAAAAATAATTATCAAGTAATGTTTTATAATAGAGCTGCCTCAATAAACTGCCTCAGACAATCTGAACTATGTAGCTTATTTTCTTTAATTCTAACTTGGGATAAAAACTATATGAATGGAAGTGTCATCAAATTAAGGAATACTTTCCCAAAAAACAAATAGAAAAGTTAAAAAATAAAAACTGTCATTTATTTATAAAACATTAAGGCCTCTGAATGAGAACAAAAAATCAATTTAATGTTTGGGTCAATAGCCCTTTTCCACCAGCCCCATCAATCCCACTTACCCCAAACTTAAGATAGAAAAATTCTGAAAAGTAGTTTTAACTTTACCAATATATGAAATTATAGATAAAAATTATCATGTAAATTTTTAACAAATTTATACTCAAAAGTAAGTTGTCTATTTTGCTAATTTTTATATGTATTTAATATAAATGAGCATAATATATATCTGACACTTCTTTGATCCTTTTATTCTGTAATCACCAAAAATAAGAAAAAAATTACATTTCAATTGATAATGCACATTCTATTTTTGATGGCTTTTAAAATTTACATACTGGATATATATTTTATTAAAAAAATAAAACAAATACTCCTAACTCCACCATTTTTTTTGTCCCTCTTTAATTGGAAAGTTATAAGAAAAATCTCTTAGGTTATGAGGACCACATGGTGCTTTAAGAACAGATCCAGAAATTATTTTTTTAATTTTAATTTACTTTTTCTATCTCTCTTAACAGTTACTTTTAAAAAAGGACTCAATGAGGCAGAAGATGTCCCAACTTACTTTGAAATAACCATACATAGCTTGCTTTACCAAACATTTCAACTTTTAGCTAAATGAGCTACCTAGTATCCTTAATATCAACCACATAAGAGAAAAATCTCATTAATGATTTAAAACCAAAACTTATTCTTTCAGAGTAGTTTAACCTACTAAATATGTCTCTTATAAGATCTTCTTTCTTAGAAAGTAGTATTTCTTTTCTTTCATTCCTGAAATGCTATCTCATATGCTTAGCAATTATGGACAATTGTTTGCTGAATATTATGGTAAGTTAGCTAAAATTAAATTACCTCTTGTTTATGGTGTATATAAGACATTCCTACAGCCTTTCAAACTGATTTTTTTTTTTTTGGACAAGAATTTAAATTAATGGGAAGGTAGATAGGCAATCATTAAAGACTCATGGTACATAAGCTATTTGTTAACTTTGACACCAAACAGAGAGGATAAAACTTAGTATGATGATCTTCCATTCACCAAATTGTGGCAAAATGTGTATTTTAAAATTGGGATAACTTCTTGAATTCCCACACATTTACTGGGAATATTCCTGTTTTTCCAAGTATCATCTGGAAAGCCAACAGCACTACTGGAAGCTCTTGATATGTTCAGCAGTCACGTAAAAATCTTCAATTTGTTCAGCAATTAACAAACTCAAGTTTCTACTTTTCAATGGTATTTTGGAATAAAGTCTATAACCATGAACTATGCATTTTTTGTTACTACCTCTTAAAAATGTCATTTACATACTAAAGGGGAAAAAAGAGTAGCATGAAATTGATTTTCCTGTTAATTCATTAGCGCCAGTCCCAGCCCCAGGGATCACGTGGAGCCGTGCAAGAAACTCAGACTCTTCAGTTCTTCCTCAGACTCAGGTCGCTATTGGTCACTAATGCTGACAAAGAAGTACTTTCTGATACATCGTCTTTTCTAAGGTTCAGAAATGACTCTCGGGTTATTTGAAGGATCTCTCTCAAGCCTTTGTTTTCTTGCTGTAAGAAAACAAAGACAAAGATCAGCCACTAAGTTAGCTAGCTAGAGCACAAACACATAACAAATACGAAGCAAGTTCTGTAACAGACAGAAATACACTAAATGATATATATGCAGTTAAAGTTGACAATCTGAATCCAGAGAACACTTTTTCAAAAAGGTAGGAATCATGTGTTCAATGGCTTCTACCTCTGCAAAGTCTTCTTATTTAAGCAGCTATAATTGTAGACAGAACCTCAGAAACGTATTTTTAGCATCTAGATTTATATTTATACACATTCAGAAAGTTTGTGAGTAATATCCTTGGATTAGAACCTCTTAATACTTTACTACTTTTATTACCTTCCATGATAGCATGGGATACAAGACAAGCCATCTGGTTTCTTACCTTACAAGAATTTGATAACAGGGCTGGTTAAGTAAATCATGTTTTTCTAAAAGGAAAGTGACCAAATCTAGCACTGGTGAACAACTGCCCTTTTTTTTTTTTTTTTTTTTTTTTTTTTGCAGTTACTATAAGAAATGTGCACACATTTAAAAATAATTTTCAGAAAAAAGAAACCAAGATGGCGGCATAGGGTAGACACCCGAATGCAGCCTACCACAACAAATTTGAATTTAGAACTGAAAAACAGGGGAGGCATTGCCCTGAAGCGCCAGACGGCTGGCTAAGAGGAGGCTCTGCCATCTGGGAAGGAGAGAGAAGGCACGCTGAACCTCAGGAACTGTGAAGGTACGGAGAACTGTGTGCACGAAAAGGCGCTGGCTTAATCCCGGAGAGGAAGGGCAGGACCGAGATTGCTGCTGGTTTACTCCCTGCACGCAGAGAGGGCGGGCCAGGCTGAGTTCGCTACTGGCTTACTCCTGGCGCAGAGAGGGCGAACAGCTAACGCGGCTGGCTTTCTTGTCCGAGAGGAAAACAGAATCAGCCTATTGCTCTGATAAACGGCCCCAGACAGGGAGAGGCCAGACTGTCAGGCAGTGGGCAGAGATCTCTTGGAGGTGTGCGAAGCCAGAGGCCATTACTGCGGGACTTGGGGAGGAAACAAAATTTGTCTGCACCAACCCGAGACTCCGCCCTACCTGTGGCTGAGCACAGAAGCTCTCCCAGAGGCTGGCTTTCTCTAAGGAGGGACTTGCAGGAATCCAAAGCTTGTCTGTGCCTTTACCAAAGAGGTGCGCGCACGCGCGCCTGCAACCAATCTTCCAAAACTCTCCACGAACAGGACTTTTCTAAGGCGAGACTGTCAGGGAACCAAAGATTGTCTGCGCCACCCCGAGACCCCACCCTGTTCAAGCAGAGTACGGAAACCCTCCTAGCTGAGACACTGCTGATCCTCACAGCCAATTGGCTTGGAGATCAACGCTTCCCAGTGATACCAACAATAAGCAAGGCTTAACAACAAGACTGCACACACAGCCCACAAAGGGCTACACCAAGACTGTTCACCACAGGTAACTGGGAAGGCTGTGCTACTGGGCTCTACCAGAACACCTATCACACAAAGCTATTCCATCAAATCAGGGAAACAACTAAAATGCAGACAAGAAGAAGGACACAAAGGAAGGAGATGGAGGAAAAGAAAAGATTGGACATTGAGTTCAAAACTACAGTTATAAGGTTATTCAACAATATCCTAAAAAAGGCCGATAAAATAAATGAGACGTATGAGAATATGAAAAGGGAGCAACTAGAAATAATAAGGGATCAACAAGAAATGAAGAAAACATTGTCTGAAATAAAAAATATTATACAAAGTCCTAAAAACAGACTGGAAGATCGCAAGAATCAAGACAAAGATTTAGAACACAAAGAGCCAGAGGACACTCCTCTGCAGAAGGGAGAAGATAAGAGAATCCAGAAAGTTGAAGATAGTGTAAGAAACCTCTGGGACAATTTCAAGCGAACCAACATCAGAATTATGGGGATTCCAGAAGAGAGAGAGCAAGATACCGAAAGAGTACTAGACGAAATAGTGACAGAAAACTTCCCCCACCTGGGGAAAGAAATAGACTTACAAGTCCAGGAAGCCCACAGAACCCCAAACAAAAGGAATCCAAGGAGGACCACACCAAGACATATCATAATTAAAATTCCAAGAGCAAAAGACAAAGAGAGAATATTAAAAGCAGCAAGAGAAAAGCAGGTAGTGACCTATAAAGGAGCACCCATAAGATTGTCAGCTGATTTCTCAACAGAAACCATGCAGGCCAGACGGGAATGGCAAGAAATATTCAAGGTGATGAATAACAAGAACCTACAGCCAAAAATAATCTACCCAGCAAAGCTATCACTCAGAATCAAAGGACAGATAAAGAGCTTCACAAATAAAAAAAAGCTAAGAGTTCATCACCACCAAACCAGAATTATATGAATTGCTGAAGGAGGTTATTTAGGAAGAGGAAGAAGATAAAGATAAAAATTATGATCAACAAATACGTAGCTATCAACAAGTGAATCTAAAAACCAAGGGAATTTAAAAATCTGATGAACAATATTAACTGAGGAATATAACAGAATCAGAGGTATGAAAGGGGAGTGGACTGACGATTCTCAGGGAAAAGGGGGGTGGAGGTGCGGGAAGAGACTGAACAAAAACTGTGCACCTATGGATGAGGACAATGGGGGATGGGGAAAGGACAGAGGGTGGGGTGGGAACCTGGTGAAGGGGAGCAATTGAGGGGGGGAAGAGGATCACATTTGTAATAATCTGAACAATAAAGATTTATTAAAAAATAAATAAATAAAATAAAAATAATTTTCATAATTTATTCTCTATCACCTGAGTTTGGTTTTACTTTCTAAGTTCAATGGTAAAAGGCAAGGATCAGCAAACTACAGCCTGGCTTGGGGCCTGTTATTGTAAATTAAATTTTATTGTAAATTTTGCATTACAATGGCAGAGTTGAGTAGTTGCAACAAAGTGTCTGGTTTGTAAAACCTAAAAAATTTACTATCTGGTCCTTTCCTGGAAAAGTTTGAATCTTGTATGCTTAGAGAGAGAAGTAATTTTGGCCCCGTTTAACCAATTTCTCCACCATAATTTCAAAATGAAGCTTTTATTTATTTATTTATTTATTTATTTATTTATTTATTTTTTATATGGAACGCTTCCCGAATTTGCGTGTCATCCTTGCGCAGGGGCCATGCTAATCTTCTCTGTATCGTTCCAATTTTAGTATATGTGCTGCCGAAGCGAGCACTCAAAATGAAGCTTTTAAAGTACAAAAGTCTATTTGACTGATTCGGACTATTCAACAATGGTTTATGTTTTCACTACACAAAATAAAGGACAATGACTTATGGGATATATTTCCTGACAGAGTTCTTTGAGCTGTTGCACCGACTTTTACAACTTAAAACTTACTTCAAGCTGAAATATTCTTTCCTGTTCCTTACAGCCCTGTTGCTCATCAATTTCAATGGCTTTCTTCATTACTGCCGCCATTTCGGTTATCTGGTCAATATGTGCTTGTAATTCCTGAAAAAGAGAGATGGGAGTTGCAAATTAGTGAAATACTATCTTATTGTTATTTTTGGATCCTCTCCTTTTCATAAAATCTGTACTGCCACTTAATATGAATGTAATATTCACCTACTGCCATTTAACATGAATGTAATTAATATAACAAACAGATATTTACAAGAAAGCTGACAGACCATGACTGTGCTTTTAAAATCAGATTTTAGGACTAGAATTAAGACTAAGCAGCATAATTTAAGTAAACCCACCCGTAAAAAGAGGACTCATATTTCACGTTCCTTTCACCACAAATGATCAGCAACCTTTCTTTTTAGCACCTACCTATCAATATATTACTGGTCAAAGTAATGGGAAAGATAAGACTTTCTGACATATTCCATCTCTTTTCCCTGAAGTTTTCACGATCTATAAATCTTTTCTGTACTACCCATACCTAAAAATCAATCTCAATCCAATCTAGAAACTTTCTAGATTATAATCCTCTTTGACAGCAGAAACTGTATCTTGTTTATATTTGCCTATTAGTGTTCAGTACATAATAGATAATACTGAGTAAAATGAACATAGTTCTGCTTTTAAGTATTAAAATATTAAATGGCCTTCTTTGCAAACTGTTCAAAATATAATTTCAGTATAAAATAGACATCCCTTCTTTGGTACAACAAGTAACACAAATTTCTTCCAATCCCTTTCATTTTTTTTTTTTTGTACACTTTTTTTGCACATTTTTTTTTTGTACTAGACAACAGAAATATGAATTGTTAAGACATGTTCCCTGATGTCAAGGAGCTTACAGTCAAGTGAAAGATACAGACAAAACATTTAAAATCAACATAAAGTGAAGAATAATAATTTTTTAAATGAAAACCTTCTACAAACCATTGTTCACTGGCAATTGAGGGGTCTTTTACTATATTAAGGCTAAAAGTAAATATAAAAGTTAATGGCTCCCCAAATAAACATTAAGTCTCTTAAGTAGTTGTATATTCTCTAATTGTAGAAAGGATTTGAGTAGGGCTCCCCACTCCTACCCCCGCAAAACTAGAAAACTATGGAGGAAATAAGATGGAGAACAAATAGGAATATCTTTAGCAATCACATTTAATACTTTCTTAACCAATAAAAATGTAGGTCCTTACATTAATGGGAAAATTTGTACAATTCTAGTACACAGAAAAGGCAAAATATAGATCTGACACTGTCCAATATGGTGCTATTTAAATTTACATGAATTAAAATCAAATACATTTGAAGAAATTAGCAGTTTAGATTCTCAGTTGCAGTAGTGACACTTTAAGTACTGAAAAGCCACATGTGGCTAGAAGGTTCTATATTGGGCAGTGCAGCTAAAGAACATTTCCATCATTTCAGAAAGTTCTATTGGATGTCCCCAAATTAGATTATGGTAGCAAGAATGATATCAAGACAAACATCTGTCATATTCCTAAAAATGATTAAATCCCTCCCAATATAAAAGCATGTAATGTTTAAAAGTAAGTTAAATACAGATAACTGCAGGGACAAATTGAATAAGGGTAATGGGTAAAAATTTCGCATACAAACAGCTATCTCAGTTTATGATTTGATACCCTATGGGACTGACCTAGGTTAAATGGCTACACAGGAAGCAAATAATTCCTTGCCTTTAAACTGGAAGAAAACAAGATACTTCCTTTTTTTTTCTTTTTTCTTTAGGATAGAGTCTAGTCTAATAAAATCATCATAAAAACACAACACCCCAATTCTTCAATCAGAGCAGTATTTTTATAGGCCAAGTTCATGAATGATTTACTTTTTATAATAAAATCTTTGGCGAACTATCATAGATCTTTTATTGGGCACAAGAGGCCAGCCAGACCTGTGTTTTCAAAACTGAAGGCAAAAAGTATCAGCAAAATAATTTTTGAACTGTCTTGACATGCCTTTCACTTGTAACTTTTTGCTTAGGTTTATTTCAAGTAGGCTCAATAAAGACCAGCTACAAGTAAGATAAAAACAAAACAAAACAAAACAAAAAAACAGTTAAAACACAGTGGAGAGGATACACTTAATAAATAACACCTAAACAAAGGCTTTTTAATTTTATTATAAACTCAAACTAAAGGACAATAAACTGTCAAAAATCCAAGTAAAAACAGTTCATTTAATAATTTAAACAATTTTTTGTGTGAAATCAGATTAAAATGACTGCCAAGAACAATATCTTTGATGTCCAGAAAGAGAATAATTGATGTCCAGAAAGAGAATAATTGTTTGAAGGTTACTAAATTTGCAGCAGCAGTGAATAAGAGCAACAAAATGAAAAGTTGGCCTGAACAACCTTTAAGGCCTGCCTTTATCTAACAGGTTGTGTATGATACAATACACAGAAAATCAATGACAGATTTAAAGTTTCTACACTGAACATTTTTGCATGGCTAGCACAGCATTTTAAAACTTAATTTCATTTGTGTGCTGATTTAATCTGGAATAAAATTCAATGTAAAGAAACTCTTTAAATGGAGCCCCCCTTCCATCCGCAACCCCAAAATTGACTGTTTTATATAGTGTACATTCTGATTTGCTTCCAAGTGCCTCCTCTCCAGTCCATGTTGAGGTGCTTCAAGGATGTGTCGAGATGCATCAAGGAAGAATCCTTCGGAGCTGTTACGATGAACCATGTCAATCTGTAGTACAGAGTCATTATAATGTTAATACGGATATTATCCGTAATTTAAAAACTGAATGAGTGTTAGTTCATGCGTGTTAGCCAACTGTTTGAAATGTTTGCTTTTTTAAGATTTCCAAAAAGGCATCTGTTAAAAAATAATGAATAAAATGAATATTTGGATGAAAATGAGTTCTCATTTTGATTTTTAAATGTGTGCTCAAAAACTTGTAGGTTGAGGACAAAATTCCATATTACAGTAGTCTCAAAAGGGTCTCTTACTTCAAAATGCTGTGTGACTCTATTAGTCCTAAATGTGTTATAAAATTATTTTTGTGTTTAGGTATGCCAGAGCACTATTACCTAAACATGTTTTAGAATCTCCTATTTCTGCACCTTAACCATACCAGTTTCTCTGCTCACCCACCTCTGCTTGTTGACGCCCAACCCCCAGTAATTAATTCAAAACTGAATTTAGTTGTATTTCTTTCTTTCTTTACTCCTTCCCAGATGCTCTTCATGAGAACTAATCTTGCTTCCTTTAGTATTCCAGTAATAATTCACATCTCTATTTTAAGATTCATCACATCTGACCTTATATCAGATAGTTATGTTTGTATCTGCATCTCCCATTATACTGTAAGCTCCTATGATAGAATAATGGAAGTTATTCATTCATCCTATTATTAATAACTAAGCCAGTGCAAGTGTTAATAGATGTTTGTTTAATTGAGTCAAACTGTCTCCTTTTTGGGGAAAATCAAAATCACAAACATTAATATGTATTAGTTAGAATTAATAACAAGTAACTGAATAGTCATTTTTATGGAAGGTAAGGATCAGCACATATGATGACAAACTTAATTTATATAATAAAAAAAGATGGTTTACAACTATCTTAAGAAATATTTCACTTTGTTAATGAATAAAACAGCTCTCTGGTGGATGGTAAAACTTCATGTGTTTCAGAATACATTCACTTCTGTCATAGCTACTACCAGATGGGAAAAGCAAGCTGCTGTATCTTACTCTAAGCGCTTTTTTTGGGTCAAAGTATTCTTCTCTTTAGATCTTAAAAAATTTATTTCTTAGATTATTTTTATATTTTAATAATGTATTTTTATTGATGTCAGAGAGGAAGGGAGAAGGGGATAGAGTCATCAATGATGAGAGATAATTATTGGTCAGCTGCTTCCGGCACAACCCCCACTGGGGATCAAGCCTGCAACCCGGGCATGTACCCTTGACAGGAATCAGACCCAGGACCCTTCAGTCCGCAGGCCGACGCTCTACTTAGTGAGCAAAACCAGCCAAGGCTATTTGTTAGATTAATAAACAGAAGGACTTCTACAATAAATTTCTCAAGATTACATTTTTTTAACCAATAATTTTAAGTCAATTCATCTTTGTACCTTTAAAAACCTCTTAAGTTATACATTTAAATATAAGTATTTTCATAATAATCTCATTATCAATAGATATATTTTACACTCAAAAGATTGCCACTTAAATATCCAACATTTTCCTTTTGGTTAGGAGATGAATACAGCATAACTAACTAACATTCAATTCATATTTATTAATTTACTACTTTACTATTTGACAAAGATTACTAACTTCCTCAAATATGCAAAGTTGTCACACAAAGATCTACTTACTAGGTATTTAATTTTAATGAATTAATAATCCATTAAATAATTAATAATTCTACAGGCTCAAAGATGAAAGAAAAGTTTCAAAGAATCTAAAGTGTGTTTCAATAGTTGAGGAAGATAAAAATCAATATTTCTTAAATAATATTAGTTATAACTACTAATAACCATTACAGAAAATGGCCTCATAATTACAATCTACCCTAATATTTTTATTCCACATCAGCAGTTAAAATTCAGTTTATAATAAAAGGTAAATGGTAAAGATTATTCTATTTGTCTTCTTTATAGCAGTTGTTAGCAAACACAAGGGACATATGAAAGGAACAAACACAGGAATGACAAATGAACAGAAGGAAAAAACACTAATTTTAAAACAGTTCAGTTATCTCTAAAAATTATGTACCTAATGTGATTTGTGGAGAGAAGAGTAAATTTTTAATATGTTGGTTCCTCTCCCTGCCCCCATGTTCTTTCCATTATAATCAAGATGATAGTTTGGATGAATCAGCCTTATTCAGAAAATAGTTTTAAGAAAAATCTATCTTTATCTGTGTTCAATTCCAATTTTTGCTTTTGTAACAGATGTCAATACAGAAATCTACTTAAAGAAATATTTCTTAAAAGCAGATAACCTTATAAAAATAAATTTGAATTGGATACTTACCTTTATTTCCCAAATAAAGTTTACTTTTTAATATACATTAAAGTTACTAGGAACAATAGTAGAAGAGTAAATTAAATAAAATGATCTATAACAAGAAATGAAAAAAAAAAAGTTAACCAATTTTCCTTCTATTCCATTTCTAATTATATTTATAGAATGGATTACCTTTGAATGCTGCTCTTTTAACTTCAATATTATACCCGGGTCATCTTTTTTGCTAGCCATTAGCAATCTAAACATTTGTTCACGATACTTGCTCATTATAAGTTCCAAGGCAGATTGATGTTCTTCCAAGGACGTACGTAATTCTATCAAGAACAACAGTATATTTTATTGAAACATGAGTTAAAGATGCATGAAGTATTCTCTTCCATATTACTTTATTAAAAAATTTATAAAGAGGGTATTAAACCCAATGAATAAAAATCTAGCTATATAGGATAGTATAGAAATAAAAGATACCAAATGGAGTCCTTCATTAGTTTTTAAATTATCATTTAAAACTCATTTTTTGAGAACCATTTCAATACCCATTCACTGAATAGCAAATAGGTATCAGATGATGCTTTATATTAGGAATACCAAAAGGCCATGGAGCTTAGAGTATAGTTGAGAAAACGAATACATAAATAATTGTAATACAATGTGGTAAGTACTGAGAGGTGCTCTACTCAAATATTTATGGGAAGTCTGTGAGGAGAAATTGGTGAAAACTTCATAAAAGTGTGGTATTGAGGTGAACCTGCATTCCTTGAGCTGAAAAATAAAAAATATTCTAAGTAGGGAGGCATGAAAGTGAACAGTACATTTAGGAACTAGTTTGGGATGGCAAAAGCAAAGGTTTCATGGAGAAGAGAGGTATGGAAAGAAGAAGAAAGAAAAGAAAGCTTGAAGTTGACTTTGAAGGCCATTGGATAAGAAAATAAGTAAATAAGGAAACTGGTAGGTTCTGTGACTTTAAGCAAAATGACATATAACAAAATCAATTTTACCAAAGTCTAAATGACATAAAAAAGAATTAACTTCCTACATCATTTCATCAACAATATAAGGAAATTATAAACAAATTGACATCATTTGAAGACCTGTTGTTGTACAAGGAGGGTTCTTAAGCAAAATAATATGATCAGATAATTTTAAAAAACAATCAATGTGATGCCAGTGTTGAAGATGGATTGCATGGGATGGAATCAGGAAGACCAATTAGGATAGTTCAGGAAGAGAATATGAACACCTAAGCTGGGACACAAAGTGGTGGGATTGCAGAGAATAAAATTGAGTTATTTTATAGGTAACAACAATGGCACAAACTGAATATTTATAGTCAGAATCTAAATGACTCCAAGCAAGGCAGATATTCAAATGTAGAAAAGGAAAAGGGCAATAATTATGATTTAGACCTATGAAGTTGAATGAAATTAACATCAAAAAGTAAATTTAGTTGACTATTTCCCCATGTTTGACAATATAAATTGATCCCAAGTTGACAGTACAATTGTAAAGTTCTCTCTCTTTAAAAAATATATATTTTTATTGATTTCAGAGAGGAAGGGAGGAGAGAGAGACAGAAATATCATAATGAGAGAGAATCATTGACAGGTTTCCCCCTGCATGACCCACACTGGGGAGGGAGCCTGCACTCCATCGGGGCATGTGCCCTGACTAGGAATTGAACCATGACTTCCTGGTTCATAAGTCAAGGCTCAACCATTTGAGTCATGCCAGCCAGGACTAAAGTTCTCTTTTGATTTGCTATATGTAGTAATAATATATCTTGCCTTTGTTTTCTTGTTGCAATTCTCTGATTTGTCTGTTTTCTTGCTGGATTCCCATAACTAATGTAGACCGTGGTCGATGTCTTGCAACTTCATTAAGTTCTTGAATTTCTTCCTGATACTAATGAAAATATTAAAAAAGAATATGTGGGAAGAAAATATATGAAAATATAAATCTGAGTCATATATCTGTTAAGGGTCTAGTATCCAGAATATATAAACAACTCTCACAACTAAATGAACGGTAAGAAAACCCAATTAAAAAATTGGCAAATAAGATAAGTTCTGTGGATGTAAGGTATAGCTTGGTGACTAATAACTAACAATATTTGGTACTTATTTGGTACAACATTTGTTACAGGTTTGTTTATTGTATTGTGTGTTTGAAAGTTGCTAATAGGGTACATCTTAAATGTTCTTAATGACACATGAAAAAGGTAATTATGTCAGGTGAGGGAAATGCTAACTAATCTTATTATGGCGATCACTTCACAATATATGTGTATCAAATCATCACACTGTATACTTTAAACATATGTCAATTATCCTATTTAATAAAGAGGTAATATGCAAATTGACCATCACTCCAACAAATAAGGTGGCTGCCACAAGATGGCCAGCAGGGGAGGGCAGTTGGGAGGGACCAGGCCTGTAAGGAAGGGCAGTTGGGGGGAACCAGGCCAGCAGGGGAGGGCAGTTGTGGGCAATCAGGCTGGCAGGAGAGCAGTGAGGTGTCAATCAGGCTGCCAGGAGAGTGGTTAGGGGGCAATCAGGCTGGCAGGCAGGCAAGCAGTTAGGAGCCAGCGGTCCCAGATTGTGAGAGGGATGTGCGACTGCCGGTTTAGGCCCGATCCTCTTAGGATCGGGCCTAAACCGGCAGTTGCATATCCCCCAAGGGGTCCCAGATTGGAGAGGGTGTAGGCTGGGCTGAGGGACACCCCCCCATACACGAATTACGTGCACTGGGCCTCTAGTATGATAATGAAAGGCTAATATGCAAATCGACTGAATGGCAGAATGACTGGTCACTGTGATGCACACTGACCACCAGGGAGCAGATGCTCAACGCAGGAGTTTCCCTGTGGAGGTCAGTGAGCTCCCACAGGGGGAGCACCTCTTGCAATCCAGGGACCCCTCAGACTGCATGAATTTCATGAGGGGACCCCCTCCCCCCCAGACTGCACGAATTCCATGCACTGGGCCTCTAGTTTGATAATAAAAAGGAATGAAGCACTGATACCTGCTACAATATGGATAGACCTTAAAAGCATTGTTAAATCAGTCACAAAAAGCACCACACTGCAAGATTCTATTCTTATGAAATGTCTAAAATAGGCAAATCCATTGAGATAGAAAAATCAGTGATGGCTTGGGGAAAGTAGAATGGAGATTTGGGGAGTTGAGAATATTCTGGAATTAGTGATTATGGGTACACAATCTGTGAATATTCTAAAATCCAATAAACTATACCCTTCAAAAGAATACACTTTATGGTATGCAAGTTATACCTCAATAATATGTGCAAAACTATTATCTTTTTTTAAAAACTAGGAATCCAATTTTATTTTCAAGGCATTTTTATGAGCCACTTAGTAGTAACACAGTCACTATAACATTCCAGGTTCTAAATTTAGCTATCGAATTCTTTCACAGCTCAATATATCAGATATATGTTCGCTGCAATGCATAAGACAAGCTATACAGTTAAGGTATTTAATCTTTTTAGGGCAACAGAGTTGCAAAACAAACTAAGTAAACTTGTTCCAATATTTCCAGTAGTTTTGATAAAAGCTGGGTCCCAGGATTGCTTCCTTTTAAAAAATGAATTTCATGAGTAGGCTATGAATATATTGATACATTTTCCCCTACTGACTTCATCATAGTATCAGAACTTTTATAATTCTCTTAGAGTTAAAATTTTTTATCAGAAGAGGGCTTTAAATAGTAGCTAAACTCCATGGCCATTGGAAAGTCCTTACACACAACACTAAGGATAACAAGAAGTGAAGCCCTTTTTCATTTCTTCTTTAACTGGCAGCATTAATGAAAAATAAGGTAGCAAATATAAATGCAATAACTGCAAAAGGTATAAACTAGATATTACTCTGCCTTATTTAAAGAATATTGTTAAATAACATCATCTAGCTAGTTTTATAAAGAAAAACAAACATTTCCACATTAAAAAACTATGACAGCAAAATGTGTCTATACAGGTAAATGACATTATCTGGTCTTTGCCAAATGTATCTGGATTGAATAGATTCATGTATTTTATAAACTCAGATATGTATCTGTCAGCAAAATTGTGATCAAGTCTACAGATTTTAGAATATATATAAAAAAACATATCTCACCTGAACAAAACAAAAAATTAAGTAAAATTGAAACATACAAGTCAAGCTACCTTTAAATTTTAAAAAGAACATTAAAAATAGTAAGTAACAATTAAGCAGAAGTTAGTGATTCAAACAATACATAAATATCAATGACTGCTTCTTTAAAAAATGAAATCAACAAAAAAGAAAAAAAACAAACCTGCTTCATTGCTTCTACTCGCTTGTTGAGAGCCGTGGTCTGCTCAATCAGAGATTCTGCTGCATCATCATGATCCCTCAGCCTCTCAACCAGAGCTTTGGCATCAGCAAGTGCCTTCTCAATTGTGCAACTCATTTCTAAAAGAATACCTAAAATAAAAATAAAAATTAAGACTCAAAACAAAGGTGGCATATCATCCTATTTTAGTTTCATGTTCACACAGATATGCTTCTGCAGCAACATTTGTTACAGGTTTGTTTATTGTATGGACAGAGAAAAACATTTAAGAACACCTGCAGCTTTGTTTTATTAGGATGGAACAAAACTGAAAGTGAATTTATAATATTTGAAAAAAATAGTATATATACAATTTGCAGACATAATAAAAAGGCACGTAAAATACCATGAATTTATGATGGGGGGAAAAAGTAAACATACAATGGATACATTTTTTATCGTACAGAAATATTTTTCATTTATGAGGCCATTCCCTATCTTGTCATTTGTGAAAGATGTTATTTTATTACCTGTATTCTGTGGTCAATCTGACTAAAAGATCCTTCCTAGCTTTTGCTTGGTCAGATGACCTCAGATAATGTTCACACACACTACTGAAGAGCCAAAGTGGCCTCTGTGTGTCATGCTACATCAGTGTCAACCTTCTTCTGGAGAAACTCTGCTTCTTATATAGTTTCTTAAGAGTCTGCCCCCTAGTAGTCACTGCACATCATGGTTGGACGGTGGCTTAGCCTTTTATATATATAGATACACACACACAAACACAGACACACACACACACACCATGAGGTATATTATATCCACTAGTCTATTGTTAGACATCTAGGTTGCTTCCATATTTTGGCTTTTACTAGTAATGCTGCAATGAACATACAATGAATATATCTTTCTAGTCAATGTTTTGTTTTGTTTTTGGATAAATTCCCCAGAGGTATTAACTGCTGGATTGTATAGCAGTTCTACTTTTAATTAAAAAAAAATATATATTTTATTGATTTTTGTAGAGAGGAAGGGAGAGAGATAGAGAGTTAGAAACATCAATGAGAGTCATTGATCAGCTGCCTCTTGCACACCCCCTACTGGGGATATGCCCGCAACCAAGGTACATGCCCTTGACCAGAATCGAACCCGGGACCCTTTAGTCCCCAAGCCGACGCTCTATCCATTGAGCCAAACCAGTCCCGGGTCTACTTTTAATTTTTTAAAGAACCTCCAGTTTTTCCTAGGGGCTGTATTAGTTTACAATTCCAACAATAGTGTATGAGGGTTTCCTTTTCTTCAAATCCTTATTATTTGTTGATTTATTGAAGATTATCATTCCGACAAGGGTGATATTTCATTTTGGTTTACCATATTTTTCGGACCATAAGACGCACTTTTCCCCCCCCCCCCAGAAGTGGGGGGAAATAGTCCCTGCGTCTTATGGTCCAAATATAGCCTACACATATACTTTAAAAAAAAAGTTTTTTTACTTGCCCCGCTCTGTGTGGTCTCTGTGTGCTTGCCCAGCTCTAAAATGGTTCTAAATGCTGCTGTTTACTTTACAGGGTTGTTTATGACTGTGATGTTGGGTTTTAATGCACATAAAATATTTTAGGACACTATTTGTTTCAGAATCTTTTTTTCTTCATTTCCCTTCTCTAAAAACTGGTGCGTCTTATGGTCCGGTGCGTCTTATGGTCCAAAAAATACGGTACCTAGTCTTAGCCTTCTCTCTAACCTAAGTCAATCCAAATAGACCCCAATAGCACTGTAGAATAAAATAAAACTGCTAAATAATCATTTTAATTAATTCAAACTGTTAGTAGCTTTCTGACCCTGAGGACAACTACCTAATAATGTCTTTTGGTCAACAGGACAAGTGTTATTCCCATTTATCAGTTAGGAAATATGTAGACTCAGGGATTCCAAATGAAAGGAAATGAATGACAGCACCATGCAGCAAGGAAGGAGTAAAGCTAGTACCAGAAATAGAATTTCCAATCCCCATGCTATTGCTGTACTCAGGAGCCAAGGTGGCTCTCAGGACCCTATTTGCTTTTAGATAAATAAGAACTATCTCAGTCTCCCTGGCTGGAAAAACAGAGCAAATTCTCTGATGCTATTTCACCAACAGGTCTTGCAAAATATTATAAAAATTGCATTTCAAGCCAGCACTAGAAAGTAAATGGGGTTGTAAATGAAGAATGAAATAACAAATTTTCAAATATTTTTTCTTATAACTAGTAACAGCCTAGCTAGCATCCATTTTTATTAGACATTATAGTTAATTATAAGACCAATGGATGTGTACTGATAGGCTTTCTCAATTACAATTAACATTAACTTTAAAAAATATTCTCTAGACTGCTAAAAATACTATTATCTAAATAAACTATATTTAAAGTTTGCCTTGTAACTATAAAAGTAATGCTATTCAGAGAAATGAACTTTAAACATCAGATGATTCAAAGCATAATTTTATTAGCATTTCAGAAAAACAGTGACATGGAGTTCCTAAGAATCTGCATGTTCATTTCCTGTATGTGAAACCACAGAAAAGTTTAGAATGTTTTATAATATGCATGAACTTTGCTACCTTTCTTGAAAAACATTGTTTCCCCTCTCCCCTCTCTTTCTGGGTTGGTAAGTGGAGTGGGAGGAAGATTATTTCCAAACTCTCTAACAAGTTTTAAAAATATATTCCAGTTAAATAAAAATTAAAAAAGGGGTATTCCTAACTTATCTACCTATTTTTATCATGCTTTAATTATTACTTACATTATCTCCTATAGGTGGCAAAATTTTTCTAAAGCAGGTTTTCCCCCTGCATTAGCTATATACTCGCCTACTTTATCACCCAAAGACACTGACAGACTCCTGGCAGCAGGTTCAGAACATTCTGCTGCTGATAAAAGAGAAACTACCACCCACCTATGACAGCAACTGACAGCTGTTAAGTTTAGAGTTTGGTTAACAAAGTTTTAAAGAAATTTAAGTCACTCTTCTTTCTCTTTTACCCCCAAATTTAGTATCCTATAGTTGGACATACAGAAATACTATGACTACAAATGTCAACAATCTAGTTTAATGAAAACTTTTTATTGGGTTGTTCAGGCAGGTACCTCTAATGTCAATTCGTAGATAACAGACAGGGAATAGAAAAATAAAAAGGTGTAGTGTGGTTTTCTCATAAACTTATACTCTAAAAAAAAAAAAAAAAATCAAGCAAAAGATGCATGTAAATTACATATAAAAATAATCACCTTAAACAGACACATCAGGGTATTTGAAAGCACAGAAAATTTTCATTTCTTGAAAATGATGAAATGAATATGCCTGAGGGTTTATGAAGCACATGCAGGTGAATTTTTAAAGTTGAAAGGAACAGAATAATTTCTTAAAAATCACGTTACTTTAGAATTGTGGCTAAATATAAGTTGCAAATACAACATCTTCAAAAAGATATGACAAATCGAGAAGGAAATAACCTAATCTAAACCAGTGATTTCTAACCAATGGGCCAAGGAGCCAGTGGAAGAGTTGCATGGGATGTGCATACACCAAACACAGTCTGTAGTCTAAAATGTTTCTCTCACACATATAGCCCACTATTTTTCTTTTTTTCCTATTTTTTTTCTTTTAAATAGCCCGCTATTTTTAAAATATAAACACATACTAGAATACGAAATTATTTAAAAGCATAGTTTTTGTCATTATGCATAATCTCAATTAACAAATACAACTACTTGTGTGTTCCTCATATTCAAACAGGTCAGTCGCCCGGCCAGCATGGCTTAGTAGTTGAGCATCAACCTATGAACCAGGAGGTCATGGTTCGATTCCAGGTTAGAGGATATGCCTGGGTTGCATGCTTGATCCCCAGTGTAGGGAATGCAAGAGACAGTCAATCAGCCGAAACCGGTTTGGCTCAGTGGTAGAGCGTCGGTCTGTGGACTGAAAGGTCCCAGGTTCGATTCCGGTCAAGGGCATGTACCTGAGTTGCGGGCACATCCCCAGTAGGGGGTGTGCAAGAGGCAGCTGGTCAATGTTTCTCTCTCATCGACGTTTCTATCTCTCTATATCTCTCCCTTCCTCTCTGTGAAAAATCAATAAAATATATTAAAAAATAAGACTTCTTTAAAAAAAAAAAAGAGTCAATCAATGATTCTCATCATTGATTTTTTTCTATCTTTCTCTCCCTCTCTTCTGAAATCAATAAGAATAAAAATTTAAAATAAACCCCCCAAAACAGGTCACCTAGCTAATATGCAATTCTCCTTCTTGCTCTAAAAATTCTATGATTTTTAAGAGCACTAAGGAGTCCTATTACGTTATCCTATATAATAAAAGGCTAATATGCAAATCGACTGAATGGTGGAAAGACCAGTCGCTATGATGCGCAATGACCACCAAGGGACAGACACTCAATGCAGGAGCTGCCCCCCGATCGTCAGTGCACTCCCACAGGGAGAGCACAGCTCAGCCAGAAGCTGGGCTCATGCTGGTGAGCACAGCAGAGGTGGCGGGAGCTTCTCCCACCTCCACAACAGCATTAAGGATGTCCCACTGTGGCTTAGACATCTCCGGGAGGGTTCCCGGCCTGCAAGAAAGCACAGGCCGCGCTGAGTGACCCCTCTCACCGAGTGCACGAATTTCGTGCATTGGGCCTCTAAAAAAAAAAAAAAAAAAAAAAAAAAATATATATATATATATATATATATATATATATATATATATATATATATAGTCAAAGGCACACAGCTGTGAAAGTGTACAACATGTTTGGGGAAACAACCAGCTGTCTGGCATGGTTGGATAGTAAGGTATCTGGAGAAGCAAGATGAGACGAAAAAGGTAAGCTAGATCGGGACTGATAGTACAGGATCCTGCTTAACCATTAGGAAATAGTTCTGTCAGCAAAAACGGTGACTAACAAAGTTTAGGGAGTGACAGAAACAGATCTGTATTTCAGAACAGTAACTCATTGGGGAGGATGATGGCGGGGAAGCTCAGCTGGGGGAGGGCACCTGCACCATCGTGGGGCAAGAAATAACAGTGCAGTGCGAGTGGACATGCAGAGTCAAGGACGAAGGTTTCCAGCTTGGCCAGCAGGATTGGATGGATGCAGCTACCACTTACTATCAAACACGGGATGCAGAATAAAGGCAGGAAGAAAACCAGGAGAAGAGGAGCAATCCTTGGAGGGCAGTTTCAAGAAGGAGAAAAGAGTTCTCCATGTGCAATGCTGCAAAGAGGTAAACTGAAAACAGAAAGGGTCCCCTTTCTCTCCCCTCCACGGTGAGCTCCCAGGTGGGCTCGGTAGCAAGAAAACAGCCGGAAGGTGTGTCCCCAGGGCCAGGGCCAAAGCTTTTCATTAAACTTTCCGTACCTCAGTCCCAGAGAGAGGAGCTCAGAGCTGAGGCCGGGGAGAGGAAGTTCGGATCCCAGGAGGGGCTGTCGGCGGAGGGGAAACGCCTACGGTTCCGCGGGCGACCGGAGGAGCAGAGCCCCGGAGCCCCAGGGAAAGGAAGCGAACGCTCCCTCCGCCTTGTCGGGTCCCTGGATTCAGTCCACTTACTCTGGTCTCAGTCCCTCGCAGCCGTCGGGCGATTAGGACTCGGGAGCCTCTGCCGACAGGGTCCTAGGCAACCAGGGGAAGAGAGTCCTTTCGCCTGTTCAGCTTCTTCAGCGAGCAGCGGCCGAACAAGGCTGAGGTAGTCGGCGGGCAACGGGGGGATCGGCAGGGCTCGGCCCCATCCCTGAACCGGGAACCGCGTCCCACCAGCGCTCCCCACAGCACTCCGACCTCGCGAGACTTCCTGCCTAGCGTCACCGTGGGGGCAGACCCGAGAGATTTCCTTGCAGCTTCTCCCTGACATGCGCGAGACGTAGGGGCGGGTCCAGTCTAAGCCCCGCCCCGTTAACCTACGCATTTTTTTTTTTTTTTTTTTGGCTTGGCTTGGCTTGGCTTGGCTTATCACAAAGTCTCGCGAGTTTTGCCAAGGGACCCGGCCTCGGTACAGAGACCGAGAAAGGGAGACCGGGTGGGAGGGCCTTTGCGCGCCTTAAGAGCCCGTGGCTGGTCCAGCCGGCGTTGTGGTTGGTACTTCGCCGATGGGGAGGCTCTCAGGTGGCCCGGAACATCCTTCCCAATGGGTGGTTGGGAAAATTAGCGGGTAGAAAAAATCGTGAGGGTCGGACGCATTTTTTTTTTTTTTTTTCTTCTTCTTCTTCTTGGCTCCGCCCTCTTCCCCCGTTCGGCGACCTGGGCGCCTGGCCCACCGCGGGGGAAGGGCAGCCGGGCCGGGCCGTCGGAGAGCGCCGTGCGCACGCGCGCAGCCCCCGGTGTGTGTGTGAGTGTTTGTGTCCGCGCGCACGCGCGCGCGCGCTCCCGCACTTAGGAAGCTCGGGGCGGACCGGTGTGCTCGGAGATGAGCGGGCCCAGCGCAGCCCCCTCTCCGGGGCGCCGGGCACCCCCGGCTGGGCGCTGACCCTCCGCACCCAACCTGCAGCCTTTCTGCCCGAGAGGCCGTGGTCCGCAGCCTCTGTGCGTGTTCGCTTCAGGACCCGGCTCGAAAGTAAGCGAACCTCAGTGCTGAGGTCTTCCTCATCCGCTCACCTTGTACTTTCCACCCCACACCCTCCGGCGGAGTGTGTGTGCCTGGACGCCTCCAAGAAGAGTTTTGTGCATGAAAGGGGGAAACGCGTTTGAAAGCAGAGGAAGAAGGTAGCTGGATCGTAAAAAAGTCAGCTCGTTTTTAATGAGCACTTGTGCTTACCATGTGCTGTTTGAATGTGGATTGTCTAGGAAGCATAAGATTTTTTATTAGCGAAGCAAGGGAGGTTTTTTTTTTTTTTTTTTTTTTTTTTTTTAAATAAAAAGTTTTAAGAGTTCCTCCTCCCCCCCACCAAGGCGATGGCAGCACCTGAGCTTTACTGTTCTACATGGTAGATGACTGTGGTGGCTCGAAAGCTAAAGGGGGAACATTGTGAATTTGGGTCCTTAATCCTCATGCGAAGACCCGATATACAGTTATGTTAGATGTCTGTCATGTTTTGGTCTTTCCTGTTGCTGTCACTTTTGTTTCCTGTTCATTCTAGCCCCTTCCCTTTTTACAGAAGTCTTGGGACTTTTTGGAGGGAGGCTCAAAACGGCTGGCTTGGGTTAGTTTGGGGATTTAGATGTGATGGCTGTCAGTCAGCGAGGATCATCAAAAGTGTGTTTGAAAAAGTATTTGTCGTTTATGTTTGGTATTATGTAAGGGGATCGAATACAATTATTTGTAAAAGTATTTTTTTTGTGCCCATTTTAAATTCATTCAACAAGCAAAAAAAAAAAAAAAAATTGGACTGTAGTTTTGCATGTGACTGAGTGACAGCTTAATGTGATGTAGCTCATCCCTTGAATGGATACTTTGTGGTCAGGACCTCATTAAGTCTTGTCCTTTGTTGAATACATTTGCTTGGATACTGATTATGCATGTTTCCTACCAAATCTTCTTGAAGAAAAGACACATTAGAAATAATGTAATATTTAAATGTTATGTATAAGATCTTTGGCTAATATATTTTATCCCTTACAGGTTAAAACAAAATGAAGATTTTTTCTGAATCTCATAAAACAGTATTTGTTGTGGATCACTGCCCTTACATGGCAGAATCATGCAGACAACATGTTGAGTTTGATATGCTGGTGAAGAATAGGACCCAAGGAATCATCCCATTAGCCCCTATATCTAAATCATTGTGGACTTGCTCAGTAGAATCTTCCATGGAATATTGTAGAATAATGTATGATATATTTCCTTTCAAAAAACTGGTGAGTGTGAAGTACAAGCGAATGTACTTACTGCCAATAACATTTTTTAATATATGAATTTGCTGTAAATTTAGAACTGTTTTTTTACCACTTTAAAAATGTGATATGTAGAACTCTCCTTTGGGATTAAATGTCATGTGTATTTAGTTGGGATCAACAGTAACAACTAATAATTAAGAAGCACTTACGGGCACCAGGGCTTCATGTATATTAACTCTAATTCTCACAACAACCCTATAAAGTAGCTACTGTAATTACTAGGATAATATTCAAAGTATATAGTCACCAAAATGGAACAGGCACTGACCATTGATTATTGCTAGCCTAAGCAGCAGGTATATTGTCTGTAAGCAATTTGTCAGACTGTGCTGGTTTGTGCCATCTGAATAACAACCTTTTTTCTCACTTCCATGTTGAAGATAAGCTGAGGTGGTGATATATTAGAAAATATATAAATGATGACTATGTTTCCTTTTGGGAGAAGGGTGTGATCATTTCATTTTATCTTTCTTGATACTATTTTTTAAAGATATTTTTATTGATTCAGAGAGGGAGAGAGAAATAGAAACATCAATGATGAGAAAGAATCATTGATCAGCTGCCTCCTACAAGCCCCTCACTGGGGATTGAGCCCTCAACCTGGGCAAGTGTCCTGATGGGGAATTGAACCTCCTGGTTCATAGGTCAATATTTAACCACTTAGCTATGCTGGCCCAGTGATACTATTTTTGTTTAATAAAGTCCAAATTTATTATTTTGACTTTCAGTGCCCTATGTCAGTGTTTTTCAACCTTTTTTGGGCAAAGGCACACTTGTTTCATGAAAAAAAATCACGAGGCACACCACCATTAGAAAATGTTAAAAAATTTAACTCTGTGCCTGTATTGACTATATATAAAATAATTCTCTTGAATAGGAATCAAATAAACACAAAGAAACAGTGGTTGAAAAACGCTGCCCTATGTGATATGGCCACTGCCTTTTTTTTTTTTTTTTTTTTAAGAGTTTATCTCTTGCCCTTCGGTCTGCTCAGAACTTCATTCTTTTGAGGGTACTCACTTAAAGGTCTTTGTGTTTTCTGTTCACTATACCTGGAATTCTCTATCCCCAACTCTTCCCATGGCTGATTTCTTTTGGTCATTTTGAATTTCCTTCAGTTGCCACTTGAGAGAGCTCTTCTCTGTCCAACCAACCTAAAGTAACTAACCATCTTTTTCTTTACATTTATCACTCTGAAATGATCTTGTTTGTTTATTTGTTGGTTCCCTGCACTGCTCTCTTATCTTACCACACCTGCTAAACCTCTGGTTTCCCCCACATTGTGACAGAACTGTTTCATTCTTCACTATATTCCCATACTCCAGTGCTGAGAATAGCACCTGACATGTACTAGGCATTGTATACCTATAAAATGGATGAATGACTCAACCAACTAATCAGTGCTAGAGGCCTTATATTATTTTATTTTAATTCTTTTTACTATTAACTATGTTTTATTTTTTATTTATTTTTTTAAAATATATTTTTATTGATTTTTTACAGAGAGGAAGGGAGAGAGAGAGAGAGCTAGAAACGTCAATGAGAGAGAAACACGGACCAGCTGCCTCTTGCACACCCCCTACCGGGAATGTGCCCGCAACCAACGTACATACCCCTGACCGGAATTGAACCTGGGACCTTTCAGTCCGCAGACTGATGCTCTACCACTGAGCCAAACTGGTTTCGGCTACTATTAACTATGTTTTAAATTTTAAATATGATGTGACCAGATGGAATTAGAGTTGAATACTAATTATTTCTTTGAAATCTATTAGGTGAATTTCATTGTGAGTGACTCTGGAGCACATGTTTTAAATTCCTGGACTCAAGAAGACCAAAATTTGCAAGAGGTATAATTCAGGTTTTGAAATGTGGCCTTTTTGAAAATTTCTCATCATGTTTCAGTAATACTTTCATAAAAAATAAATTTAAAATTTTTGATCAATATAGGATAATATATGCACATTATTTAAGAACATCACCTAATAATAAAAGTAAAACAGCTATCTCTAGTTCAGTCTTTCCCCACTTAAAAGCAAATTTACAACTCTTGCTCATTTAGTATATACTTCCATATTTAAAAAAAAATTTTTTTTGCTGCCATTTATCTACTTAAAAAAGTTTCCTTTTATTTCTAGTTTGTTGGAAAGTTCTTAGATTTTTGTCAAATGCGTATTTTTGGAGATAATGTAATTTAAAAGTTTTTTCTGTTAATATGATAGGCACTAATTTTTGGATTTTAAATCAGCTTTTGCATTCTTGGGATAGGCTCCTTGGTCATGATGTATAATTATTTTTATATGTTGCTCAATTTGGTTTGCTAGTAGTCATTTGTTGAGGATATTTGTGTCCATATTTATAAGAAATAGTGGTTTATAATTTACTTTTCTTATGATGTCATTGTCTGACTTGTGCATACTCTTGTCACCATAATTGTTTTCCCATTATTTAGCTGATGGCAGCGTTAGCTGCTGTTGGGCCCCCTAATCCACGGGCAGATCCAGAATGCTGCAGTATTCTCCATGGCCTTGTTGCAGCAGTGGAAACCCTCTGTAAAATCACGGAATACCAACATGAGGCCCGCACTCTACTAATGGAGAATGCAGAGCGTGTTGGAAATAGAGGGAGAATAATTTGCATTACTAATGCAAAAAGGTGAGACAATAACAGTAAATCTTTTTACTCTTCCACAGCTTTTATTTTAAAAAGTAAGGATGATATATTAGCATTTAAACACATCACAAATGACCTTTCTAATATTGAAACTTGTTTATCGAATTCTAAAATAAAGACTCATCTCATTGAAAACTTTAGATTGTCATCATGTAGGTTAATTTGACTTCTCACTAGTTTTTCAGTTGGTTATTTGGTGGTGTGAATGAGCACTTAAAAACAATCTTTACTAAAGTAATTTTAATGCCTGTAGCTGGATAGAGTGTGTTTAATTTTTTCTCTTACTGTTTATTCCTTTA